TATCTGTTCATGAAGCTGTCTCTTCATGTTAATTGTGAACTTAGCTTTGCAAGTTAATTGTTAACAAATTGGGAGAGAATGAAAACTCAAACATAATAAAGCATTTAGGAAGATCTCCTTGGACCAGTGCTTTTGACTCCCTTCTTTGCATTGTGACCTTATACTGAAAACTTGGGTGTGACTGGTGCTGTTCTGGTCCAAAGTGCCAGGAAGTTCAGATCAAGTCAAGCTCAATCTCAAGCTCAAGCTAAGCTGACTCTAAGGTCAGCCTATTCACATGTCCTTTTTTAGGCTACAATCACTGAGGAACAGAGGCTACCGAGAGTCAGTAGAGCTATTCTCTAAAGCTGAACAGGTGTCTGGTCAGCAAAATTGTACTGTGTGTTGGCTGTGGGCTCTGAGCACAGAATCTTATTGAGTGCCTTATAAATTTGTGCAGGAGTGAGCAAGGGAGACTTCTATTCAGAGAAAACACTTACCCCAGGATCCTCCATACTCAAGGAGGAGACTGCTTTACAATTCTTTACTATGGTTTTCTTAAGTGTAAAATGTAGCTTTCTAGAGAAGCAATTAGGTCAAGGGTTTATGTTAAAGGGTAACTAAGACTTTAGGCAGTCTGGAGCTAGGGCTGGCAGCAGGAGAAATGTATTGATACTTCTGACCCAAGGAAGGCCCTCCTGTCTGAGGGACCTGGGGCATGGTGGTAGTGGATAGTGTCCTTGGCAGCTCTAGAAGGAGGCTGGATCTCTGGACACCCTAGCCATTGGTCAACACCATGGAGCTCAGTTGTCAATGAAAACACTGCTCATCTTCAAGAAGTAAATGTGAAAGAGTAAGTTAGCCAAAGGAAGAAAGGTGAAACAAGTTCCCAGGTTGAGATGAAGAGGGAAAGGCAGAAACAAGGCCTGGAAAATTCAGAGGCAAGGTAGGCACAGCAAGGGTCCAGCAACAAGAAAGCCTTAATTTGCAATCAGGTCGATTCAGTTCAAGATATTATATTGAATATCATTTACTACATTCCAGATACTGTGACTACAAAGTGAATATGACCCAGTTCTTGCCCCCAAGGAGCTTATGGGTAAGTGAAGAAAGTCAATACAGATAACTTGAGTGTAATGTGATGTGTGATAAGGAAGCAAACCCTGGACTGAGCCCTGAAGAATAAATTAGCTAAAAGAACAAAAGTGGAAAAAGTTTCTAGAGTGGGATGAGGAGGATGGAAGGCAGCAAATAAGACCTGAGGAATTCAGAGCAAGCTAGGAAGTTAGGGTTCTTCCTATTATTATAGATCTAGGATTCGATGTCTCTTTACTGAAAGGAGCAGTCTGAGTCTCTCCAGTTAAATGTGATAGATAACAGGATGCCATTCACAATCAGAAGCCATATTCAGCATCCCCCGGAAGTCCCTACTGAAGCATTGCTATGTCCTGATGCACAGAAGGCTGGGATTTAGCCTTCATCCTTCCCTCATTCCTTCCTTCCCATAAGCTTCCCATGTCTTTTGACATTTCTCTGTAAATCTATTTCCCTCCCTTTTCTTTGCTTCCCTTTTGAGCTTCTCCAAAATGACCTCACTTTCATAAGGCAGGGAATTCTGAGCTGATTCTGACTCATTTGAGAGAGACCTTGGAGTTCCTGGCATAATTTGATCCCAGGTTATTTAAACACCCCGATATCAGGCTATCTGGGGAATGATCCTATCAAGCAGGTGTTAGCTCTGGAAAGACAGTCTAAGACTGGAAGGGATGGATGGCACAAGCTGGAAAGGAGGGAGGGAGAGAAGAAGTGTTCATTAAAGGCTGGGATCTTCCTGGGTTAGCTAGCAGCTGCTCTCTGACATTCCCAGCTCCTCCTGCAGAAAGATCCAAGCTGACCTGCAGCAGCTGGACTCAAAAGAATAGACTGACACCATGATCAAAGTATTCTTGAAAGATTTGCTATCTGATGGAGTGAATCCTAAAGTTACTTTTCCTTCCCTAACATTTTCTTCTACAGTTTGCGCTCAGTGAAGAAACATTAAAAAACAAAAAAGCACTAGGAAAAAGACAAAAATTAACCCAAATCGCATAATCCAATGATAACTGCCAACATTTGCTGTAAATACTTCTAGTATTTTCCACACATATATATTTCTCTTACAGAAATAGTATCATGCATGTTATTTTGTAGTCTCTTTTTTTAGGTAGAGAATTTACATTTGTTTTTCAGCTTCAAATAGGGCTTAACAAGTAATGACAGAAAGTTAAGGATTGTGTGAGTGATATTATTCCTTGGAAAATGTGAGCTACAATTCAATTAATGGGTCAAACATTAAACATAGCAGTATTGGCATTTCATATAGCTGTGTACCCATTTAAGATGATCAATAAACATATATCATATGTCTACAACTAACATACATCTTCTAAACCTGGGAATCAGGAGGTCTGAGTGATCCTATCAATGTTCTGCCTTCAACTCTATAAGCAATCTTGAGCAAATCAACTCAGTATGTGCTTTTCTAGATAAAGTCCAAATTCTTAAACATGGCGTATGAGGTCCTGTATTATCTGGTCCATCTAGCCATATAGAATCATATGCAGTTCCCAGAATGTACCATGCTTTCCTGTGCTTGCATGTCTTTTTACCATGATTTTTCTCTCTTTTTTTCCAAAACACTCCCTCCTACATGGCTCATTAACTCCTCCTTACCTTTAAAAATTGCTTAATTGTGGTAACATACACATAGCATAAAATTTACCACCTTAGCCATTTTTAAATGTACAGCTTAATAATATTAAGTACATTCACAATGTGTGCCACCAAACTCCTGAACTCTTTTCATCTTGTAAAGCAGAAACCTTATGCCCAGGAACACCATTCCCTCCTCTTCCTACCTCCTGGAAACCATCATTCAACTTTCTGTCTCTGTGAATTTGACTACACTGGGTGCATCTCATAGGTTGAATCATACATTATTTATCTTTTTATGAATGGCTCATTTCATTTAATGGTCTTGAGGTTCAACATACTAGTCTCAAGGTTCATTCATATTGCAGCATGAGTCAGGATATCTTTCCTTTTGAAGGCTGAATAATATTCTATCATATGTCTATACCACATTTTATTTATCTATTCATCTGCCTAAGGACACGTGGCTCCCACCTTTTGATTATTGTGAACAATCCTGCTATGAACATGGGTATATAAATACCTCTTCAACTTCTTGCTTTCAATTTGCGGGGGCAGGTATATACCCAGATGTGGAATTGCTGGATTGTATGGTGATATATTTCTGTAGTCTCCTTTTAAAACTGTTTTTTATACTTCTTTTCTCCCAGATTAATAATAATCCACTCTTTCACGGAATGGCTTTTATTATCCATAGAGTATTTTATCAAATGCTCAGACTTATTCAATTTGTTGTTTCCAATTTTCCACTGTTAAAAACAACACTAGCTAAAAGTTCATTCATAAGTTGAATTCTTAGAAGTGGAATTGCTGGATTAAGGGGTCTACGTTTTAAACGTTTTGATGCATAGTGTTACAGTGCATGTACAAGCTTCTAAGGGCTGCTTTTTATGGCATATCAGCACCTGTTGCCAGTACCTTTTATCAGCAGGGCAAGGGCCAGCAGCTTGTGGTCTCCTTAACCTTTACCTCTAAAGAAAATAAATCTTTATGTCAAAATTCTTATTCAAAATTGAAAGGTATTATGTAAGTCATTAGTCACAAGAAACAAAATGATCAGATCTTTTGCTTAAATTTTCAACTAAGTGATATCAACTCCATTTTGAAATTATCCTCCCTAAATAAATATGAAAAGTCTCCTCAAGTTTGTATACTATTTTTCAGTTTATAAACCACTTCCCTTATATTTTCTTATATATCCTTTATAGTTAGTTATTATTTTCCCAGGTTTACACATGAAGAAATTGAGGCCCAGTGAAATGACTTGCCTGAGGTCACAAAGCTGATAATCAGTGTCTTTTGGTTCCAAGTTCATTGCTTTTTAAATTACAGATGATTCATTCAATAGTCCTTGAGATCTAATCATAATGAGTAAGCATAGTACAGACTCTTCCAAGACCTTTTTCTTCAAGCTGGAAAGAGGTAAAAATGGTTTGAGCAAAATAGCTGAAAGCTGTGATCTAAAAACAAGCCATTTCGTGGCTGATACATAGTATAGAAATACAAACAGTATTTACCCTTTTTCCTAGAATTGTGTGATGCCTCAAGGTGCTAATACACTGTGGTGTCAACATGTGGGCTCTGGTGTCAGCTTGCTCAGATTTGACCCTTGACTCCATAGTACAAGTTATGTGATCTGAACAAGTTAATGTCTCTGTGCTTCCATTTCTTCACCTGTGAAAAGGATAATAATAGCATCTACCTTATTGGATTATTGTGAACATCATATAAGAAAGTGTGAATGCCTGGCACACGCTAACTGCCTGATACATAACGACTCTTATTGCTCGTGTTGAGACCTTGACAATACTGATTTTCTGTTTTATCATGGGGAGAAGGATACATGGAAGAGGCTGGTGCAGAACAAGGTAAGAGTGAAAAAAGCCCTCACTGATGCTGGCTGATTAAAAAAGATAATTAAAAGGCTTTTCTAGTAAACTGTCATTAGTTTTCAGAAATTTAATTAGGATATGGTCAAGTGTAGTTTACTTTGTGTTTATTCAGTCTAGTAGTTTATTGAGTTTCTTATACCTTTGAGTTTGTAGTTTTCATCCAATTTGAAATACATTTGGCCATTATTTCTTCAGCGATTTTCTGCTTTCCCTTCTGGGACTCAGTATGTTAAATAGCTTCATATCATCTGACAGATCACTAAGACTTGGATCAATATTTTTCCCCCAGACTTTAATCCTCTCTGTTCTTTAGTTTGGAAAGTTTGTATAGGTATGTTTTTAAGTTAATCAACCCTTTAAACTTATGTGTAATGTGCTATTAATCACATGAAATCAAAACCATTTCACTTCAGGTATTATATTTTTCAACTCCACATATTTCCATTTTGTTCTTTATTATAGCTTCCATTTCTCTCATGCTACTCATTTCCCATTAAATCTTTGAGCATGTTTGTGTCAGCTATTTTAAAATGCTTGTCTACTAATTTCATCCCCGGTCATTTATGGGTCTGTCTCTGTTTACTGGGTTTTCCCCCTTGTTATAGGTTGTATTCTATGGCTTCTTGGCATGTCCAGTGGATCTGCACAGGAGTGGGATGACTCCCTGGAATCTGCAGCAAAGAGAAAGGAGGAACCACATCAGCTTCTGTCAGAGAAAGGTCCAGAACAAGAAGATCCTGCCAGAACAGAAGCAATGTACTAGCACCTTTCTTTTGTAAGTGAACCTTTGAGGTTCACAAAGCACTTTCACCTCCATTATCCTCCATGACTTATATGACATCCTTTCCTGGTAGAGGGGACCGGTATTACTGTCACCAGTTTACAGATGAGAAAACTGATGCTCAGACATACGTGAGTGACTTGGCCAGAGTCATGTATGCTCAGAAGTCTAAGGACTATTGTTAGCATTCTTACAGACCTCTTTCATTCAGATGTTTAAAAAAAAAGCTTAGATCTTCTGCCTCAAGAAATTGTGATGCACCCACAAACCAGATAGACTCAGAGGTTTTAACCTCCCATCCCTTTGTAAAATTATTTATGGAAGACTAAAGGATATTTGCTACCACTACCAATTTGTTAGTTTCTCCCCAAGTATAAAAGACACTATGTAGTAGACTGGGAGGATTCAGTAGTGCTTTTCTCATACACATACTGGCATTTATTAGCAGGGAGCCCCCTGGTATCCTGTGACTATGCTGGGACATCTGCCTCACCTCAGTTGTCAGCCCAGCATCACTGCTAGATTGTAACCCTCTTTTTTGACTCAAGAGAATTCATTCTAAAAATGGCTGAGAGATTTATATCTACTGTAGTATAAATTGGGCTAGGATTCATTTTCCCACTTTTCAAAGAATTATATCAGCATATTAGTAAATACATCAGTAATTTTTAAACTTTTTATTTTTAGCAGAAGAATACCTTTTTAAAAAAATAAAATCTAATGTAGGGCCCAACCACACAACACAAATATAAGTGGATCTGGTTGGAGAAGAGTGTGGGGATGGGAGAGGTGGAGCTGCCAGACTTTTGCCCTTTGGCAAGCCCCTTTGGCCCCACGGGGTAAACTTGACACCCTTCTGTTGAACCCCAGAGCTCCAAAAACTTGGAAAAACACTAGCCTGCATAATAAAATTAAAATAACCATCCATTCACTCATTCACCTTTCCTTCTATCCAAACACCATTTACTGAGCCCCCACTATGCATGAGATACCATGTTAGATGGTGGGGTGGGCCATGGGGTAAGGAATGAGGGGAGAATACATAGGTGAGACTCTTCAAAGAGTTCACAGTCTGGGAGGAATAAGTTCACAAAGGACTATAATACAGGGTTGAAAGGCTAAATGCCACAAGAAAGGTTCAGATCAAGGACCATGGGAGCATTCTCCTCATTTGAGGACACTAGATGAAGTTCAGAAAATACAGCAATAACAAAAACCTTGGATGGGGCTTTCGTCCTGGTGAAACTTACCAGAGAGCTTCCCATATGTGGAAGGTATCTGAGGGGAAGGCTTATGGTCAGTTTATAACTGTCACCATGCTTTTAAAAAATATTTTTCTAGTTTCTGCACATTACCTTGAATATTTTAGCATTCAGAGAAAATTTCCAGAACAATAAAAGACCATCAACACAAACTGCATGAAATGATATTACCTTTAATGTTGAAGAAAAACAGCAGATGATACACTATTTTAAGCCTTAGATATGTTATTTTAGTTTGGGTGAGTTTGAAATGAATAAACAGATAGGAAAGATGACTGAAGCGTTAAGCTTCTGTGTAGAGACTTCCCTTGGCTCCTTTGCTGGGCATTCTAGATGCTCCATCATCTCTATCATCAGCCCTCACTTAACTTCTTCCAGCCATAGCAACACCCCCACCCATCTCTGACTCCTCCTATAAATTCTACATTCCAGGCACACAGACTGATGTTCTCTTAGCACACTCGTACTTTCTCATTCCAATCCTTCACTCATTGTGTCCTTTGTCAGAATGCCCTTTCCCTTCTCTCCACTTGTTAAAATCCTATGCACTTTTCCAAGCTCTGCTCACCTGCCACCTCCTCTAGGGAAACTTTGGTACCCCCCCCAACCCAGTAGAATGGTACCCTCTTCTATGTTGTCATGCATGTCATTCACTCCTCTGTCATCGAGTTTATTACAGTACACTTGGCAATGTGTGTACATCCCTTTCACCAGTATGAACTAAGAGCTCTTTGAGGGCATGTGTGGTGTCCTTTCCATCAGTTTCCTCACAGTTCTTAGCCCAGCTTCTAGCACCTGGTAGGTGCTCAATAAACATTGTAGAGAATGAGGAGAAAGAAGCCTGAATAACTGAGGCTAAATACAACAACTGTGAGACTAAGACAAAAAAGGGGTTCAAGAAGTCAGGTGGAGTAGGCAGAAAGTGAGCCTTCCCTCAGGAATTTCCTCTTCAAGGAGAGCTTGTTAAGCTCACCATTTGCCAAGATCTGTTGCTATATCATTTCCTGGTTTCCCACAACTCTATTTCTCTTTACTTCACAAAGTGAGGTTGGAATTAGTTTGGGCTATTTTACTTTACAGTAACAGAAGCTTAATCTCTCAATAAAAATATAAAATGAAAACAGGGCAGGAGAGCTTTTATTGGACAGATACTTGGGAAACTCCTAAAAAGTAATGATAAAAAAACAGACATCCCAATTTTAAAAGAGCAAACATTTGAAGAGACACTTCACCAAAGAAAATATATAGATGGCAAATAAGCACATTAAAAGTTGTTCACAATCAATAGTCATTAGGAAAATAGAGTTAAAATGCAATGAAATACCCAACTAGAAGGATGTCTACAATTTAAAAGACTGACTAAATCAAGTGTTAGTGAATATGTAGGACAAGTGGTACTCTCAAGACTTCCAGTGGAAAGTGAAAATGATACAGTGCCTTTGGAAAATGGTTTGGCAGTTCTGAAAAAGCTAAATACACATCCACCACATAACCCAACCTTCCATATCTGAGCATTTACCCTAGATAAATAAAAGCATGTCCACACTCAGAATTTGCACATCAGTTTTCATAACAGTTTTACATGTAATTACCAAAAAGTGCCAATCACCCAAATGTTCATCAGGAGAAGAATGATAAACAAGTTGAGGTATATCCATAGAGTGGACTACAACTTGGCAATGAAAAGGAATTAATTATTGCCACACACAACAACATGGATGAATTATGCTGAGTGAAAGAAGCCAGACACCACCACCCACTTCAAGAGCATGACCTCATTCATATGAAATTCTAGAAAATGCAAACAAATTAATCTATTGTGATAGAAAGCATATCAGTGGCAGCCCTGGGATGGGTTTGGGTGGGAGGGCAAGTAGAGGAGGGAGGAAACTTATCGGGGGTAAGGATGCCTTCGTTATCTTTATTGTGGTGATGGTTTCAATGTACATAACTTCTGTCAAAAAAATTCTACACTCTCAATACATGCAGTTCATTATGTCATTTATACCTCAATAAAATGTTTTTAAAAAGCTAATAAACAGCTTCTTTTAAAACTAAACATACACCTATCATACTCAGCAATTGCACTCTTTGGCATTTATCCCCCCAAAATGAGAACTCATGTTTACACAAAAACCTCTATGTGAGCATACATACACAGCAGCATTATTCATATTAGTAAGAAACTGGAAACAGTAAAACATCCTTCAGTGGCTGAGTAGCTAATCAAACTCTAGTACATTCTTACAATGGCATTCTATTCAACAATAAAAAGGAATAAGTTATTGATATATACAGCAACTTGGAAGGGTCTTAGGGCATTATGCTTAGTGATGAAAGCTTACATATTATATGACTCCATTTATAATCATCCTCAAATGGTAACACTATAGAGATGGAGTGTAGATCTGTGGTTCCCAGGGACCAGGGATAGGTTAGGGAAGTGTGACTCTAAGAGGTAGCAATAGGGAGTTCCTTTTTTGGTGATGGAATATTTCTGTATCTTTGTTTTTGTGGTTATGCAACCTCTCTGTTGGGTCAAATGGCAAAGATCCAAACACATACACATATCCCCACCAACGAGAGCACATAAAAACCGGTGACAACTGAATGAGGTTTGGAGTATACTTAATGGTATCAAGCTAATGTCATACGATGTCACCACTGGGAGAATCTGAGTTCAAGGAACTCTATGAGCTATTTTTGCAACTTCCTGTGATATATAACAATTTCAAAATTAAAATTTTACAAATACACATATTGAAGAGTTTTGAAAACCTCTTTTGGAGCCCTCAGATTGGGCTGGTGAACCTAAGCTCTCTAAGACACACTTTCCCCCCAAAGTTCTTCCTAATTGCCTTTAATTAAGTAGCCAGTGTGGGACAAAGAACAAATGAACTCATATTCCTCCTCATATTAAACAAAGGCAAAAACTCAAAACTGTTGAACAGATAGTCTTGACTGGTCTTCTTTCTCCAAGGCAGAAGGCTCTAGAATTTATAGAGAGCAGGGAGTTTATAGAGGCCAGGGACTGGGTCTTTATAATTCTAGCACTTAGTACAGGGCTTGGCTCATAGGAGGAGCCCAGCAAATACTTTTGGAAGGAAGGTAGATAAGGCGGGAGGGATAAAGAAAGGGAAGAGCCCTCCAATAGACTTGGGACAGTGTCTTCTTATTTGTGTCAGTGCAGAAAGGTCAAGTTTAGTTAATGGCAGATCAGTGTCAGGACCAATTGCATGTGATGGAAGAGTGCAGGAAAAGAAAGAAAAGGTCCACTGTGTAAATCCCTGCCTCCTTAGAAAATGAGAGACATACCTCCTGCTGGACTTCTCTTTCTCCAGGGCCAGGGGTGGTTGGCTAAGGCTGCATCTATATGGACCACAGCCACAGTCAGAATGAGAGGGCCCGAAAGAGTCACAGAAGCTGTCTGTAGTGGAAGATTCTAAGGATGATTATAAGCTGAAGTCCTGACAGAGTCCAGATTCAGCCAAAGGTGAACTCATTCCAGACCCAGTTCAGGAGTCCAGAGTGAAATTTAAGGGGACCTAGAATCAGAATAGGGCAGGACTGGCATGATCAAAGACAAGCTTGGACCATCTAAACAGTGGGGGAGGCAATCCTTTCTCTC